GCATAGATGTTCGGAATTGAAACTTCAGCTTGGTGGATTTCTCCTATGATGAGTATGAAGTGACCTCCTTCATCTGTTTTGATTGTTTTTAGTTTAAAGTTTAATTTGTTAGATATTAGGATTGCTACCCCCATTTGTTTCTTGGGTCCATTTGATTGGAAAATCTTTTCCCAACCTTTCACTCTCAGCTAATATCTTTCTTTGAGGGTGGGGTGTGATTCTCGTATGCAGCATAAAGATCGGTTCTGTCTTCGGATCCTCTTTTAACCTCTGTTTTTTTATGTGTGAGTTAAAGCCATTAATATTGAGGGATATTAATGACCATTGATTGCTCATTCTTCTTTGATTTGGAATGGTTGTTGTTTGTGCAATTATCTGTGGAATTCCACCCCTTTTTTCTTTTGCCTTTGGTAAAGTGGGATTATATAATATCTATGTTTTTCTGGTTGTAGTTAACTTCCTTGGGTTGGAGTTTTCATTCCAGAAGTTTCTGTAGGGCTGGGTTAGTTGATACGTATTGCTTGAATCTAGTTTTGTCGTGGAATATCTTGTTTTCTCCATCTATAGTGATTGAGACCTTTGCTGGTTATAGTAGTCTGGGCTGGCATCCATGATCTCTTAGTGTTGGTAGAATATCTATCCAGAACCTTCTGGCTTTCAGAGTTTCCATTGGAGAAGTCAGGTGTATTTCTCATAGGTTTGCCTTTATATGTTACTTGGCATTTTTCCTTAGCTGCTCTTAATATTCTTTCTATATTCTGTATATTTGGAGTCTTGATTATTTTGTGGCAAGGGGACATTTTTGTGGTCCAATCTATTTGGTGTCCTGTAAGCTTCATGTATGTTTATTGGCATGTCTTTCTTTAGGTTGGGAAAGTTTTCTTCTATGATTTTGTTGAATATGTTTTCTGCCCATTTGATTTGGTTTTCTTTACCTTCTTCTATACCTATTATTCTTACGTTTGGTCTTTTCATGGTGTTCCATATTTCCTGGATGTTTTGTGTTAGGGATTTGTTGGACTTAAGATTTTCTTGGGTTGATGAATCTATTCCCTGTAGTTTATGTTCAGCAACTGAAATGTATCCTCCATCCCTTGGATTCTGTTGGTTATGCTTGCATCTGTAGGTCCTGATCTTTTACCATGAGTTTCTATTTTCAGCATTCCTTTAATTTGTGTTTGTTTATTGCCTCTATTTCAGTTTTTAGGTATTAGAATGTTTGAATTGTTTCCTTCATTTGCTTGATTGTTTTTTCTTGGTTTCCTTTCTTTCTTTATGATATTTGTTGCTTTCTTGCATTTTTTGGTTGGTGTTTTGCTCCATTCTCCCATATTTTTTGTTTTCATTACCTTTCTTTAAGGGATTTTCTCATTTCCTCTTTAGAGCCTCTATTATGTTTTTTTATTTAAATTAGAAAAATACATGCTTCAAATGTCAATCCCAACTCCCCCTTTCTCCCTCCAATCTCCAGTCCCACCCCTTACCCCTAGCCTAATCCCTACATATTTCCCCAGGGAGGGTGAGTCATTTCATCCCAGGGCAGGACCTAGGCCCTTCCCCATATGTCCAAGCTGAGAGAGCATCCCTCCATGTGGAATGGGCTCCTAAAGTTCATTTGTATGCCATAGTGAACACTAATCTACTCCCCGATGCCCCAGAGATTTCTGACGACTCCTTCCTGACACTACATTCGTGGAGTTTGGATCAGTTCCCTGTTGGCTTTTTAGCCATCAGTCTGGGATTCAAGAGTTCCCCCTTGTCAAGTCAGCTGTCTTTGTGGGTTACACCAGCATGGACTTGACCCCTTTGCTCATCACTCCTCCATCTCTGTCACTGGGTTCCTGCTTCTATCATCTCCATAAAGCTGTGTTTAAGGTCATTCTCTTCTACTTCCTCTGCTTTGGGATGTTCAGGTCTTGCTGGTGGTGAATCCCTAGACGCTGGTGATGTCTTATTAGGATTTCTGTTTTTGAAAGTTTCCTTATACTGTCATCTTCCCATCACTTCTTCCTGTGGGTGTAGGTTGGGTCTCAACCTCTTCTGGTGGTATGCATCCAAGGCTCTGTCCAGATGGGTGCAGGTGGGTCTAAGACTCTAATAGCAGCAGATGTCAGATGGTTCTGTATTCCAGTGTGTGCCAGTCCATGATGGGAATGGTGGTAGATGCTGGATGACTGGGTCTGCTTCCTTGTCTCTCTGGGGGAATTGGTGCCAGGATGGGACTTGGGGTTGATTTTCAGGAGACTCAAACAGGGAAAGCTGGGCAAGAAATGGCCAACCTGGACTCTTACAATAGGAGCCAGTCCAAGACTGGGATGGAGATGATGGCAAATGCTGGATGGCTGTGTCTGCCTCTAAATAAATATTTTCTAAATAATGAATAGAATCATCTTCACAAGTTATTTGTTCTGGCCTACAATTCAATTTGACCATATAAATTCTCAGGTACTCTACCCACCATGTCAAAAAAGCCATCCTCTCAAAACCATATAGCCTCTGAACTACACCCCTTTCTTTTCATGTCCCATGGACTCTAATTTGCTCTGGTCATGCACTCATGAGTGTGGAATGTTCCTTTGGAGAAAAAGACACAATAATTATTCTTCTAGTTGTACACTCAAAATATTGACATGAAAACAAGCTATTTAAAATAAAAAGATGTTAAAATAGACCCTGAAGAGATATTTGTAACTTTGTTTCCAGAGTAACATAATGGACAATAGAAAAAATGTGCAATGATGGATGTCAGTCAGTAGATGGAAATATAAGCATACTCTAATATGCATACAATGGAGTGCTCTTGAAGTTAAAAGGGATATACTTTGAAATGACTAAACATTAAAAAAACATGAGAGAAATTATGCTAAATGACAATATCTATTCACATATTTAGAAGTTACATATTCTAAGAATTTAAAATGAGCCCAGTGTTTGTGCCACAGTCCTTTTATCCCTGCACTTGTGAGGCAGAGGCAGGGTGATCTCTGTCCATTCTAGGCCAGCCTGGTCTATAAATCAAGTACTAGGACAGGTTCCAAAGCTACACAAAGAAACAATGCTTCCAACAAATAAATCCAACAGGAGATCCTTAGATTAATCAAAATCACAGAAACAAAATTGGAATGGGTAGAATGAACAGTGATGCTTTACGAAATATGGACTTACCCAGTGTCAGGAAATGAACTGCTTATGAAATTACATGATAGTGCTGCTTGAAAATCTCACCCTGAACTCTTGGGGAAGGGTCTAGGCCCTGCCCTATATGAAATGACAGACTATGGACACCCCCATGGAGGGCCTCACCCTCCCTGGGGGAATGAGGGGATAATGGGGGGGGGATTGGGGGAAGGGCACGGGAGGAGGGGAGGGAAAGGGAGAGGGATCTGGAACTGACTTGTAAAGCAACCTCGTTTCTTATCTAAATTTAAACTGGAAAATAAAATAAAAAAAAAAGAAAATCATGAATATTTCTGATGCATCTGAATCACATTTAAAGAATTTCCACATGCTAGTGTCTATATCCATGTAACTATCCCAAAATATATGAAAAACCAACAGCATTTGACAAGTGAATGACAGATAACAGTCATTCCATTGGATTAGAGAAGAACAAATGACCTCCAATACTGGTTTCATTGAATGAGGCACCTTCGGAAGGATCTCCTTAAGTCTCAGTAATGTGAAGGCTTGTTATGAAGAGTTCTTGCACAGCTTCCAAATCTCCAAAAGCAGGGGGTATTCTAACAGATTTGTGTCCTCTGATGGGACTTATGAATGTCCTAGAAAGTATTACTGGTCAATAGTGTATAGTGTATAGTGGACACCTAGAGTCACTATGGCTACTTGCATAGTACAATCACCATGGTATAGACACTTCTTCCTGTATTATAAACCATTTTGAAACACAAATATTGCCTTCTTACAGCATCCACTTATCTACAGAACCATGTATGCAGACAGAAGACAAAAAATTAGATCAACCATTACCCTCCCAGTCTACTTTTCCACTACAATCCCTGAACGGATAGTATTTCACACCAAGAAATGATTTTCTCCAAATCACACAAAAACCCAAGAGATGATTACAATTTCAGTACCAGTTTTATCATTTATTTATTTATTTATTTATTTATTTATTTATTTATTTATATTTATTCAATATTAAAAACCACAGTTTCTTCTCTCTCCTCTCCTGCCATTCCTTCTCCCCACTCTCTTCTATCCCCTATCCATTGTTCCTCAGTTCTCACTCAGAAGTGGTAAAGCCTCCCATGGGACTCTACAAAGAATGACATATCAATTTGAGGCAGTGTCAGTCTCCTCCCACTTGTATCAAAGCTAGGCAAGGCATCCCACCCTAGAGAATGTTTTAAAGAGCCAGCTCATGTACCTGAGCCAGATTCTGCTCTATTCCTAGGGGCCCAACAAAAGACCAAGCTTTACAACTGTCACCCAGATACATAGGACCTAGGTTGGTGCCATCGGTCTAGAGTCTGTGAGCTTCTGAGCTTCCACTAAATCAGGTCAGCTATCTCTGTGGTTTTCTCTGTCATAATCTTTACCACTCTTGCTAATATAATCCCTCCTCCCTCTCTTCGACTGGACCGCTGTATGTAGGTCCAGTGCTTGACTAAGTAGGAGCAGATGGGGAGTGGAGAGGTGGGAAAAGGGAGGGGATGTGAAGACAGAAGTGAAGGGAATCTGGTTGATATGTAAAATAATTGAAAAATGTTATTTAAATAAATTTTAACAGACAAAACAAAAAAAACACTTTAAAAGTATTACGTAATTGCATAATTTGACACTTTTCTGTTCTTTTTCCAAAGTCTTTCAAAGACAACATGTGTCAGGGAAGCTCCCAGGAACCCTCAAGGATGACCCCAGCTAAGAGTCCTTGCAATAGTGGAGAGTGTGCCTGAATTGACCCTCCCCCCTAGTCAGAATGGTGACTGCCCTAATTGCCATCATAGGGCCTTCATACGGTAAATGACAGAAGCAGATGCAGAGTGAACTTTATTTTCAAAAACTAAGCAGGAAATATTTGGTCTTAACATAATTCAGGAGAATGTTCAGAGATTGTACAAGATGACAGGTAAAGACAATGCTTCGTAGCCTCACAGCTGGTGTTGAGAAGAAGACCCACATGACAGTTGTGCTGGTGTGTGATTCTGTTCAGGAAGGACCTAAAGTACTGATGTTATTTTCAATGAGATGCTGGTATAGAAACCACTGACCCAGAGCTGCAGATCTTGTATTTATTCTCATGATTTGAAGAGCAATTACAGGCTAAAGCTCTTCACGGTCAGAAGCCTTACAACCTGAAACATATAGCACAAAGACGAAGTTGAGATCATGGATAGAGGAGAGACACTACCTAGAAATGAAGAGAAGTGCTAACTTAACTGTATGAACTGGAGGTGTAATTAATTTCATTATCTCTCAGGTTGTAACAGAGGATGAACCCAGACTTGGTTGTTAGGGTAAGCTACAACAGAAATTCAGTTTTATGATATTCCTAAATCTTCATTGCTGACCTGAGATCATGCTAAACTGGCAATTAAACTTACTGCTTTTCCATCAACAATACTTCATGAATACCCTGTGAGTAATGAGGTTAATAAGGAACATCTCAGATATACTGTTCATCAGAGAGCATATGGAATCAGGTTTGCACTGGAGCGCTACTGAAGTCTTGTTGAGAAAACTCCCCAAAAGGACACTCTCCTCCACTGTTTCCTGGAGTGAAAACTTATACAGCTACTTTGGATATCAGTATGGTGACATCCCAGAAAATAGGGAATCAATCTACCTGACTCAGTGATACCACTGTAGGCTACTTACACAAAGGGCACCCAATCATACCACAAGGATGCCTTCTCATAAATGTTCACTCCAGCATTTCCATAATAGCAAGAACCTAGAAACACCCTAGATGTCCAGCAACTGAAGATTAGATAAAGAAAATGTGGTACATTTATGTAATGGAGTATTATTCAGATATACAAAACAATGGCATCATGAAATTTGCTTGAAAATACATGGAACTGAAAAAATTAATCCTGAATGAGGTAACCCAGACGCAGAAAGACAAGCATGGTATGTCCCCAGTAACTAGTGGATACTAGATATAAAGCAACGAAAACCAGACTACAACCCCCAGCTCCAGAAAAGCTAGGTAATAAGGAAGACCCTAAGAGGGACACATAGATTGTTCTGGGATTGGGAATTTGATAAGATCTCCTGGGTAAACTGGGGGCAAGTGGGATGGCAGAGGGGAGAAGATGGACAATGTGAATTATGAGGAAACAGAATGATTGAGTTGAGGGGAGACATAGTGGGAGATTAATGAAAGAGATATCTTGATAGAGGGAGTTGTTCTGTGGTTATGGAGAATCCTAGTTCTAGGAAATTTCCTGGGACTTCACATAATGGCCCCACAGAAAGCTCCTAGCAATAGTAGAGAGGGTGTCTGAACTCGCCTTTCCTGGTAATCAGAATGGTGAATACACCCATTGACATCAGAGTGTCTTCATTGAGTAACTGATGGAACCAGATGCAGAGTTCCATAACCAAGCACCAGGGTACACTCTGAGAATTCAAAGAGAGGGAAGATGAATTTAAATGAGCAAGGGAGTCAAGACCATGAAGGAGAAATCGACAGAGAAAGCTGAACCCAGCTTGTGGCAACTCAGAAACTAGAACAACAGCTGTGGAGCCTGCATGGGACCCATTTAGGTTGGTACTCTACATGTGGGAGATAGTTGTGTAGTTTGGTTTCTTTGAGAGGCCCCTGGCAGTGACCCAGAATCTATCCCTGGTGCATGAGTTAGATTTTTAAAGCACATTAACTGTAGTCGGGTGTCTTACTCAGCCTTGATGCAGGGGGGTCAGGGTTTGATCCTGCCTCAACTTAACATGCAAGCCTTTTCACTCCCCATGGGAGGCCTGATAGTTTGGGTGGAGTGAATGGGAGTGGGAGGCAAGGGGGAAGTGGAAGGATGGTTAGGAAGAACTGTGTTTGGAATGTAAAATAAATAAAATTTAAATAAATAAAAAACTCAAAAGTGGCAGAGATAAATTCTGATGAAGATCCCTTAAGAGTAGAAGATTTGAAAACTAAAATGACTAAATTTTCTGTGGACTTTTATGCCTTGAAGACTTAGTAGATATGTCACATCCCATCCTATTCAAAAGGTAGGCCTGGTTTCCAATAAGTGTGTTGTATAGAATACTGGTATCAAGGGGTTTGGAAAGGTTAGAAACTGTTTCTCATCTTGAAAAGTTCCCACAGATAAAGAGGAAAATCCTCTCTGGTTATTGGGGTTGGAAATGTAAAGGTTGCCTTTGAGTCGATGATTGCCATTACACACCAACATAGCCCGACTGTCACTTACTTTGACTCTGGTCATTGAGATTGTCCTTTAAGGTAGTGGTCAGAAGAAAGTTTAAATGTTTACAGAAAGAACCTGTGAAATCGTCGATGTCCAGCAGCCAGACCATGGCATCACCAAAGTTATTCTGCTTGAGGGAGTGGGCCTGTTATAACAGAGGACATGTGTTACTTGATTTCCTGTAGTCAGAAATGAGATCTCAGTAATCCATTGGACTGAATTTACCTTTGCCCTGAAGCTGTCTGGATTATCATAGCCAACCCAGTCTGTGTTCTTTTTTTTTAATTTTAAATAGCTTGTTTTACATGTCAATCCCAGTTCCCTCTCCCTCCCCTCCTCCCCCACCCCCATCATCCCCCCCCATCCTCCCACCCTATTGCCAATTCCTTCCGCATAGGGGATATCTAGAGTCTATCATTTCATTCAGGGTAGGGGCCAGGCACTTCCCTAAGAGTCACGGCAGAGAGAGCAACCCTCTTTGTATTATGGGCACACGATGTCTGTTAGTATTCGAGGGATAAACACTGATCCACTGCTCAGGACCCCATAGGTAGCCCAGGCCTCCTCATTGACTCTCACATTCAGGGGGGTCTGGATCAGTCCCATGCTGGCCTCCCAGCTGTCGGTCTGGGGTCCAATAGCTCTCCCCTGTTCGGATCAACTGTCTCTGCTGGTTTTTACAGCCCATTCATTGCCAATTTGCTCTTCCCTCCTCTCTCTCTGTCGCTGGGTTCCTTGGGTTCAGTTCAGTATTTAACTATGGGTGTTTGCCTCTGCTTCCATCAGTCACTGGATGAAGGCTCCAGCATGGTTACAGACATCAAGTTCACTATCAGGAATAGACATTTGAGGTGGTCTCTCCACTATTGCTTAGATTGCCAATTGGTGTCATCCGTTTAGATCACTAGAGGTCACAATGGTGCCTGATCTGTCTTCTAACCTATGATTCCCTCTTCCCCCTATCCTACCCCCCCAGTTGACCTAGCTGTGCCTCCATGTCCTAATCTCTCTACCACTTCTCCCCCTCTCTATTTCCCAGGTCCCCCTCCCTCCCACCCCTCGCCGTGTTCCCCATCTGTTCAGAGGATCTTGCCTCATTTCTCTTCTCTTGGGTACCATGTATATCTTTTAGTTTCTTTCCTGTTTCCCAGACTCTCTGTCAGTGGAAGTGCAGACTGGCACTCTCCTGATCCATGTTTAAAATCCATATATGAGTGAGTACATACCATGTTTGTCTTTTTGTGACTGGGTCACTCAGGATGGTTTCTTCCAGTGCTATCCATTTACCTGCAAATTTCAAGATTCCATTGTTTTTTTCTGCTGAGTAATACTCCATTGTGTAAATGTACCACATTTTCTCTATCCATTCTTCAGTTGAGGGGCATCTAGGTTGCTTCGGTTCTGGCTATTACAAATAATGCTGCTATGAACATAGTGGAGCAGATGCCCTTGTTGTATGAATTTGCCTCTTTTGGATATATGCCTAAGAGTGGAATTGCTGTGTCTTGTGGTAGATTGATTCCCATTTTCTTGAGGAATCTCCATACTGCTTTCCAAAGTGGCTGTACGAGTTGGCACTCCCACCAGCAGTGGAGGAGTGTTCCCCTCTCTCCACATCCTCTCCAGCATAAATTGTCTTCAGTGTTTTTGATTTTAGCCATTCTGAGAGGAGTAAGATGGTATCTCAGAGTTGTTTTGATTTGCATTTCCCTGATGGCTAAGGATGTTGAGCACTTTCTTAAGTGTCTCTTGGCCATTTTAGCCTCCTCTATTGAGAATTCTCTGTTTAGTTCAGCACTCCACCTTTTGATTGGATTCTTTGGTGTTTTGGACACTTGCTTCTTGAGTTCTTTGTAAATTTTGGAGATTAGCCGTCTGTCAGATGTGGGGTCAGTGAATATCTTTTCCCATTCTGTGGACTGCCTTTCTGTCTTGTCTGTGTCCTTTGCCTTACAGAAGCTTTTTAGTTTCATGAGTCCTATTTGTTAATTGTCGATCTCAGTGTCTGTGCCACTGGTGTTATGTTCAGGAAGTGGTCTCCTGTACCAACTCTTTGAAGAGTATCTCCCACTTTCTCTTCTAAAAGTTTCAGTGTGGCTGGATTTATATTGAGATTTTGATCCATTTGGACTTAAGTTTTGTACAAGGTGATAAACATGGATCTTCTGCATACCAGTACCCAGTTATGCCAGCACCATTTGTTGAAGATGCTTTCTTTTTTCCATTGTATAGTTTTAGCTACTTTGTCAAAAATCAAGTGTTCATGGGTGTGTGGGTTAAAATCAGGGTTTTCAATTCAGTTCCATTGGTCTACCTGCTATTTTTGTGTCAATACCAAGCTGTTTTCAGGACTATAGCTCTGTAATAGAGCTTGAAATCAGGTATGGTGATGCCTCCTGAAGTTCCTTTATTGTATAGGGCTGTTTTGGCTATCCTGGGCCTTTTGTTTTTCCATATAAATTTGATTAATGTTCTTTGCAGATCCTTGAAGAATTGTGATGGAATTTTGATAGGGATTGCATTGAATCTCTAGACTGCTTTTGGCAAGATTGCCATTTTTATTATGTTGATCCTACCAATCCAAGAGCATGGGAGATCTTTCCATTTTCTGGTATCCTCTTTGATTTCTTTCTTTAAAGACTCAAAGTTCTTTATATACAGGTCTTTCACTTCCTTGGTTAACATTATCTCCAGATATTTGATGCTGTTTATGTTTATTGTAAAGGGTGAGGTTTCTCTGATTTCTTACTCAGTCACTTCATCGTCTGCATATAATAGGGCCACTGATTTTTTTGAGTTTACCTTGTATCCTGCCACTTAGCTGAAGGTGTTTATCAGCTCTAGGAGTTCCCTTGCAGAGTTTTTTGGGTCACTTATGTAAACTATCATATCATCTGCAAATAGTGAAAGCTTGACTTCTTTTCATATTTGTATCCCTTTTATCTCCTTTTGTTTTCTTATTGCTGTAGCTAGGACTTCAAGTACAATATTGAAGAGATATGGAGAGAGTGGACAGCCTTGTCTTGTTCCTGATTTTAGAGGAATTGCTTTGAGTTTCTCTCCATTTAGTTTGATGTTAGCTGTTGGTTTACTGTATATTGCTTTTATTATATTCATGTATGTTCCTGTTATCCCTGATCTCTCTAGGGCTGTGTTCTTAAAAGCATAAGGTACTTTTTGAGGGCCATACCATTTCTCTGCTCCATGATTTAGGGAGTTGCAAATCTTTAAACATTCAACAGATTCAAATATTTAAACAATACCAAGAAAGAAAAATAGCATGCACTTTGCTTTTATTTCTCTCTATTATGTTGTTTTCCTCCATTTTCTTATGAGTTTTATTTGTCTTGAAAATTGAGACAATGTTCTCTTTCATTTCTGCTAGGCATGCTATACATACAGATCTTTCCCCAGGCTATGTAAATTATCTACAACTGGGATATATCTCCAGATCTTATTATCATATTTTTATATTCTGTCAGAGTTTCAGTGTCTATCTAAGACAGTCTTCAAACTGGTAATTCTCCTGTTTCAGCCTTCATCAATTAGAAATACTAAGCTTGAGAAAACAGAGATCACAGTATCCACATGTAAACTTGCAGTATGTAATCTCATTTTAATATGTATGACTAGAACCAGAACACAAGGGCAAGCTTAGCAAACAAAGCTCAATGACAGAGGAATTTTAAATATACAGGTATTTAATACACAGATATTTTGTTCATAATTTTGCAATGTAATTTGAGGAGTCACCAAATTTCTTCATGAAATGATAAGTAAATAATTTCCCTATATGTGCAGTCATACAACTTAAGGTTATGTTGTAGGTTCTTAACCTGTGGTTTGAGACCACCATATCAGTCAAGTATCAGACATCATTCATATCAAATATTGACATTATTGTTAATAAGAGTAGCAAATTTACAGTTATGAAGTAGCAACAAAATGATATTTGGTGGGGTTTACCACATACAAGGAACTACATAATAGGATCACAACATTAGGGAGGTTAAATACCACTGATCTCTTGTATGAAGTAACCTTATAAATCTTAAAGATCTATTAGTTTTTAATGAAGAAATATAATAAAAATAAAACAATTTGGAATGGTCATTCAGCTTAGGTGAGAGGCACTGCACATAATGAACATTCACTTTCCTCAGATTTTAGCATCCAGATAAAGAACTGCAATTCATTGACCACTGTACAACAATCTACTGACCTCATAGTAAGCCCATAGTCCTGTTTTACTTGTGTATTTCCCTGGAGGGCCAGCACCAATGGTAGGGGCACCAATTCCATTGTTAGAGGGGTCACTCAGAGTGTAGGTGTGTCCATAGGCTGGGAATCCAACAATGACCTTCTCTGGATCAGCTCCATGGTTTTTCCAATAGTTCATGATGTCTGCCTGCAGTAGCAGAAGGTTAGTTGTGCAATCAAAACAGGTGGTGATCTGTGCTTACTTAGGTTACTTGATGCTCTGACAGTTCAAAAATGTGTCATCTAATGAAAAATTAAGTAGATTGGTTTTCCAAAGTATATTGTTGACTTAGATTTTCAGATTTGCTAAGTAGCATAAGAAGACTGGTAACCTTTTGTTTATTTTGGACTTGACTCCCCCAAGATATTAGACATTTCCTATTTTCATTTGAAGTTGTTCAGGGTCTTACCACATTGAGGTAGTCACTAATGCCGTGGTCAGGTGGATCATTGTAGAGGGGACTGTTTCCACCAGTACAGCCATCAAGATCAAGCTTTCACTATTTGCAGATGATACGATAGTTTGTATAAGTGACCTAAAAACTCTGCAAGGGAAATCCTAGAGCTGATAAACACTTTCATAAAAGTGGCAGGATACAAGGTAAACTCAAAAATCAGTGGCCCTATTATATACAGATGATAAAGTGGCTGAGAAAGAAATCAGACAAACATCACCCTTTCACGTTTTTCAGATCTTTTCACAATAAAAGAATATAGATAAATTAATTTCAACACACTCTCTTATTTTCTCTTAGTTTAGTATGCATTATCACCTCAACAAATTCAGGAGATTAGATGCTATTACTAAATACATGGATCCCTCATATGTATCGACATTTAAAAATATCTCCAAGTCAAACATTTAGTGGTCAGTATCCAGGCCCTAATATTTGGCTAGAGCTCTTATTGTTTTTAATGTCTGGAATTGCTTCTCAACGGTGCTCTGCATCCTCTTGGAGTGCTATGGACAGGTGCTGTATTGCTGATTGGTTGAACTACCTCAGAGACTTAACATCCTGTCTAATGACATAGTTACCTGATAAAGTTGGGCTGTGGTAAGAACTGTATAACAGGCCAAATTCTGCCCTTATTTTAATCTGCCTAGACTCAGTGGAACTCTGTTCAAATCTACAATCCTTGGGTTATCTCTCATCCCTCTTTTTGTGTTTTCTAGAAATTGTTTCTAATGAATGCTTCCAGAATTTGACATGTGGCAAGTGGGTCAAATGACAAGATAATTTTACTGGTGAAAGAAGCATAATAAGAAAATTGTTTAGCTGTGTGCAAATATTAATTGCATAAAATTCAGCATTGTTTCTTTAAGTTTTGTGCTGTTGAAGAGAAATTACCTAGAAACTATGCCTGGAAATTGCAAATTTTCTAGAGAAGTTTGTTTCTTACCATCATTCATGCCATAGCTATTCAACAGAAACTATCATGTAATGGGTATGTAATAGTGAAACTCAACCGAGGTTTTGCAAATATATACTGATAGGAATCTTGCTGAAAAGAATTTGCCGCTGAGTGTAGCTCTGTAGATCATCTGTAGACAAATCTGTCAAAAATTACATATACAGATAATAATAGTTTTGTTTTAATTTTTATGCAAGTATCATAGAAGACACTACATTTAAAAAACCTTCATCAATCTTTGGTTATTTTTGTTTTAACTTTTGTTTGATGATTACGCCTGCATGAAAATGTAAGAACATTAGATCAAGTCTGGTCCTAAAGTATGAAATCTATTACCAGCATTCTTTCGTTGTATATTTTCATGTACATATCTCACATTTACTATGTTGATGGGAAAATAATCTGTTCTCAGTACACATTGACTGTTATTGTATTTTACTTTCAAGAAAGTAATGTATTCTGATACTGTCCTTTATGTCTGAAAATTGGGATGTTTTGTCATCTCTGAAACAAAATGACCCCTTCTTTCCATGAATTTTTATGCTCTCTGTCTGCATGCCCTCCTTCCCAATTGTAAAACCATTGTTTACATCTGATCACAGGTTACTTCAAAAGCTTTCTGTTGAATCTTTCACTGCTGAATCTAATTATTTTAGTTAGTATCACAATAATTATTCAAAAAAGCTAGTTCTGTCATAGTTCCCCTCTAACTACAGCTCCTCAAAGTACCCCATGTTCTTGCATGAGATTTCTTCTAAAACTAAAGCTCCCACATGATCAAAAATTGCCTCCTTTTGACCTCACATGTCTCACAAAGTGACTTGCTCATTCATTTCTGTCACGTTATTGTTACAGACCCATCATTATCTAATTTGATGACAACGTTTGTTTTCCCTGACTAAATTCAAGCATCACTTTCTCAGAAAATATCTCTAATCCTTCCTCACACAAAATCAGTTACTCTGACTTTTGCGTTTCTTTTCTACCTCGTTGATCCCTCTCATGTCCATTAACAAGATGGTCTTCAATTGTTTCCTAGTTTACAGTGTTATACATCAGATGAGAATAATTTGAAGCAAAAGATTCTGCTTTAGTTTAATCTTTAACCTGCACCCTTTAACTATCATAGAGTATAACCTATTTAGTTACAGTACATATTCTGATGTAATTGTTATGAGGCTTGAATTCTATAAGGAAACACAACTTGGAGATATGTATGATGTCATTATATTAGTGATTCTGTCAAATTTACTAATGCTCTTTTTGTATATTAGTTATTTGCCTGTAACATAAACATATAATGCCTCTGGAACTCACAGTATAGACAACATATGAAATTACATCATTGTTCTACACCTGCATGTGTGGAAGTGTTCCACATGCTTGTTGAATCAATGAATGATATTTCAGGACCTATGTAGTGGTAATAATCTGTCAGTTTGGTCTACTCTAAAAGAATCCAATTCTCCGTGGAGAGGAGACATTTAGAATTTTCTAGGACTAAAGGCGTCTCCTGAGTTCCCCACCTTCACCAAGAGAGTAAAGTGATTCTTGTCCTCAGGTGGACTTCCACAATACCCAGTTTCAGCCTATCAAACTGATTTTGGCACAGGAATTTGATGACTGACTTAATGAAAGTCTGTCGGTTCTGAGCAGTAGACACCATGTCACTGAACCTGAGGGAGAGCAAAGGAAAAGAAATGAAGGTTTGTGTGAAATTGCCACATTGGAACAAGACAGTTCACAGCTGATTTCATAGTCTGTGCTGTTCTCCAAGGCTCCTTGTTTTGTTTCCAGCCTCCCCCCTGCAAATTGCCTGTTAGCATTGCAACCTCAGCATCTCCTGTGTTTTGTGATCCCTGCCATAACTAAAGTATCATTGCCCCTTCATTTTTTTTCCTCTTTGGCTTTTTTTATATTTTATTTTCCAGTTTAAATTTAGATAAGAAACAAGGTTGCTTCACAAGTCAGTTCCAGGTCCCTCTCCCTTTCCCTCCCCTCCTCCCGTGCCCTCCCCCCCAAATCCCCCGTTATCCCCTCATTCCCTCAGGGAGGGTGAGGCCCTCCATGGGGGTGTCCACAGTCTGTCATTTCATATAGGGCAGGGCCTAGACCCTTCCCCAAGAGTTCAGGGTGAGAGTGCATCTCACATTGTTCTATGGGAGTCGAAAGTCCGAGTGTATACTTGGGATGGGTACTGATCTGCTGCCCAAGGCTCAATAGATTACCTAGGCCTCCTCACTGACACCCAGATTCAGGGGGTCTTGATCAGTCCCATGCTGGATTCCCAGGCTGATGCCTGGGATTCAAGAGTTAACCTTTGTCTGGTCAGCTGTTTCTGGGGGTTAAACCAGCCCAGTCTTACTCCCTTTGATCATCAGTCCTCCCTCTCTGTTACTGGCTTTCTTGAGTTCAGCTCAGTATTTAACCAAGGGAGTCTGCCTTTTCTTCGATCAGCCACTAAATAAAGTTTCTGTTTCCCAGACTCTCTGGCCATAGGATTGTAGCCTGGCACTACCCAGATCTATGTCTAAAATCCATGTATGAGAGAGTACATGCCATGTTTCTCTTTTTGTGACTGGATTACCTCAGTCAGGATGGTTTCTTCTAGTGTCATCCATTTGCCTGCGAATCTCATGATTCCATTATTTTTTTTCTGCTGAATAGTACTCCATTGTGTAGATGTACCACATTTTCTCTATCCACTCTTTGGGTGAGGGACATCTAGGTTGCTTCCAAGTTCTAGCTATTACAAATAAAGCTGCTATGAACATAGTGGAACAGACATCTTTGTTGTATGAATGGGCATTTTTGGATATATGCATAAGAGTGTCGTTGCTGGGTCTTGTGGTAGGTTTATTCCCATTTTTCTGAGGAATCTCCATACTGATTTCCAAAGTGGCTGAACCAGTTGGCACTCCCACCAGCAATGGAGGAGTGTCCCCCTTTCACCACATCCTCTCCAGCATAAATTGTCATTGGTGATTTGATTTTAGCCATTCTGACAGGAGTGAGATGGTATCTCAGAGTTGTTTTGATTTGCATTTCCCGGATGGCTAAGGATGTTGAGCACTTTCTCAAGTGCCTCTCAGCCATTTTAGACTCCTCTATTGAAAACTCTCTATTTAGTTCTGCAGCTCACTTTTTAATTGGATCCTTTGCTGTTTTGGAAACTTGCTTCTTGAGTTCTTTGTAAATTTTGGAGATCAACCCTCTGTCAGATGTGGGATTAGTGAATATTTTTTCCCATTCTGTGGGCTGCCTTTTTGTCTTGATGATTGTGTCCTTTGCCGTACAGAGTCTTCTCAGTTTCAGTAGGTCCCATTTATTAATTGTTGATCTCACTGTCTGTGCTATTGGTGTTATGTTCAGGAAGCTGTCTCCTGTACCAATTTGTTCAAGGGTACCACCCACAATCTCTTCTAAGAGGTTCAGTGTGGCTGGATTTATATTGAGGTCTTTGATTCATTTGGACTTAAGTTTTGTACATGGCGATAAACATGGATCGATGCGCATTCTTCTATGTGCCAGCATCCAGTTATGTCAGCACCATTTGTTGAAGATGCTTTCTTTTTTCCATTGTGTATTTTTAGCTTCTTTGTCAAAAATCAAGTGTTCATGGGTGTGTCGGTTAAAATCAGGGATTTCAATTCAGTTCCATTGGTCTACCTGCTATTTTTGTGTCAATACCAAGCTGTTTTCAGGACTATAGCTCTATAATAGAGCTTGAGGTCAGGGATGGTGATGCCTCCGGATGTTTCCTTGTTGAACAGGGTTGTTTTGGCTATGCTGGGTCTTTTGTTTTTCCATAAAAATTGATTATTGTTCTTTCAAGGTCTGTGAAGAATTGTGCTGGGATTTTAATGGGGATTGCATTGAATCTGTAGATTGCTTTTGGCAGGATTGCCATTTTTACTACATTGATCCTACCTATCCAAGAGCATGGGAGATCTTTCCATTTTCTGAGGGCTTCTTTAATTTCTTTCTTTAAAGATTCAAAGTTCTTACGATACACGTTTTTCACTTGTTTGGTTAGCGTTACCCCAAGGTATTTTATGTTGTTTGTGGCAATTGTAAAGGGTGATGGTTCTCTGATTTCTTTTTCAGCCCTTTTATCATCTGTATATAGTAGAGCTACTGATTTTCTTGAGTTGAACTTGTAGCCTGCCACTTTGCTGAAGGTGGTAATCAGGTGTAAGAGTTCCCTGGTAGAGTTCTTTGGGTCATTGATGTAAACTATCATATGGTCTGCAAACAGTGAAAGTTTGACCTCTTCTTTCCCAATTTGTATCCCATTGATCCCCCTTTGTTTTCGTATGGCAATAGCTAGAACTTCAAGTACCATGTTGAAAAGGTATGGAGAGAGTGGACAGCCTTGTTTTCTTCCTGATTTTAGAGGAATTGCGTTGAGTTTCTGTCCATTTAGTTTGATGTTGCCTGTTGGTTTACTGTATATAGCTTTTATTATTTTTAAGTATGTCCCTGTTATCCCAGATCTCTCCAAGACCTTTATCATGAAGGGGTGTTGGATTTTGTCAAAGGCTTTTTCAGCATCTAGTGAGATGATCATGTGATTTTTGTTTTTCAGCTTTTTTATATGGTGGATTACGTTGATGGATTTTCGTATGTTGAACCATCCCTGCATCCCTGGGATGAAACCTACTTGATCGTGGTGAATGATTGTTTTGTTGTGTTCTTGGATCTGATTTGCCAGTATTTTATTGAGTAATTTTGCATCAATGTTCATGAGGGATATTGGTCTGAAGTTCTATTCTTAGTTGTATCTTTGTTGGCTTGGGGATCAAGGTTATTGAAGCCTCATAGAAAGAGTTTGGCAAAGACCCTTCTGCTTCTATTGTGTGGAACACTTTGAGAAGAATTGGTATAAGCTGATCTTTGAATTTCTGGTAGAATTCTGCACTGAGGCCATCTGGACCTGGACTTTTTTTTGGTTAGGAGACTTTTGATGACTGCTTCTATTTCCATAGGGGTTATAGGTCTATTTAAATTGCTTATCTGTTCTTGATTTAGTTTTGGCAAGTGATAGCTATCCAGGAAGTCATCCATTTCCTTTAAATTTTCGAATTTTGTGGAGTACAGGTTTTCAAAGTATGACCTAATGATTCTCTGGATTTCCTCAGAGTCTGTTGTTATGTCCCCCTTTTCATTTCTGATTTTGTTAATTTGTGTGTTCACTCTCTGCTGTTTGGTATGTTTGGACAAAGGTTTGTCTATCTTGTTGATTTTCTCAAAGAACAAACTCTTTGTTGCATTGATTCTTTGTATTGTTTTCCTGGTTCCTACTTTATTGATTTCAGCCCTCAATTTGATTATTTCCTGGCGTCTACTCCTCCTGGGGAAGTGTGCTTCTTTGTGTTCTAGAGCTTTCAGCTGTGATGCTAATTCTCTGGTATAACTGTTCTCCTGTTTCTTCATGTGAGCACTTAGTGCTATGAACTTCCCCGGTAGCACTGCTTTCAAAGTGTCCCATAGGTTTGGGTATGTTGTGTCTTCATTCTCATTGAATTCGAGGAAGTCTTTAATTTCTTTTTTTATTTCCTCTTTGACCCAGGGATGGTGCAGTTGAGCATTATTCAATTTCCATGAGTTTGTAGGTTTTCCGCAATTTGTGTTGTTGTTGAATTCTAACTTTAAAGCATGGTGGTCTGATAAGATGCATGGATCTTATTTTTGTGAAGCTGCTGATGTTTGATATGTTGCCAAGTATGTGGTCGATTTTTGAGAAGGTTCCATGTGGTGGTGAGAATAAGGTATATTCTTTTTTATGTGGATGAAATGTTCTATAGATATCTGTTAATCCCAGTTGGGTCATTACTTCTATTAGACCTTTTGCTTCATTGTTGAGTTTCTGTTTGGTATTCCTGTCTAGTGGTGAGAGTGGTGTGTTGAAATCTCCCACTATAACTGTGTGGGGCTTTAGATGAGATTTAAGTTCTAATAATGTTTCTTTAACGAATGTGGATGCCTTTGTATTTGGGGCATAAATGTTCAGGATAGACACTTCATCTTGGTGGGTTTCACCTGTGATGAGTATGTAATGACCTCCTTCATCTCTTTTGATTGATTTTATTTTAAAGTCCAGTTTGTTAGATATTAGGATTGTTACCCCTGTTTGTTTCTTGGGTCCATTTGATTGAAAATTTTTTCCCAACCTTTAACTCTCAGGTAATGTCTGTCTTTGGGGGTGACGTGTGTTTCTTGTATGCAGCAGAAGGAAGGGTTCTGTCTTCGAATCCATTCTGCTAGTCTGTGTCTTTTTATGGGTGAGTTAAGGCCATTAATATTGAGGGATATTAATGATCACTGATTGCTCATCCTTCTTCGATTTGCAATGGTTGTTGTTGGTAGAATTATGTGTGGAATTTCACCCCTTTGTTCTTTTGGCTGTTGGTAGAGAGGGATTCTCTAATACCTGTGTTTTTCTGGTTGTAGTTAGCTTCCTTGGGTTTTAGTTTCCCTTCCAAAATTTTCTGTAGGACTGGGTTAGTGGGCTCATATTGGTTGAATCTAGTTTTGTCATGGACTATCTTGTTTTCTCAGTCTATAGTGATTGAGAGCTTTGCCGGGTATAGTAGTCTGGGCTGGCATCCATGGTCTCTTAGTGTAGGTAGAATATCTATCAAGGACCTTCTGTCTTTCAGCGTTTCCATGGAGAAATCAGGTGTAATTCTGATAGGTCTGCCTTTATATGTTACTTGACCTTTTTCCTTGGCTGCTCTTAATATTCTTTCTTTATTCTGTATGTTTTGGGTCTTGATAATTATGTGGCGAGGGGTTTTTTTTGTGGTCCACTCTATTTGGTGTTGTGTAGGCTTCTTGTACCTTCATTGGCATGTCTTTCTTAAGGTTGGGAAAGTTTTCTTCTATGAT